AGTGACTTTAGCTTCTTGTGGGAACAAAGGGAAAGAAGAGAACACTTAGTCCCTTTTTGAGTGAACAGCCTTTTTTCACTTGCTATATAAAGAAATACAATTAACAAACATTATCCCCAGAGGTGAATTGAAATGTACATGCGGACAATAACTGATCTTGACTGCAATTAGACATATATGATCCGAGGTATTTTGGCCATTCATTAGTGCTAATTGTTTGAGAAACAAGCCCACAGAACAAATGATTAAAATGTTAGTGCCATAACCGGGATTATTAGCATGTGTGATAAAATGCATGCGCCGCAGCTGTACCAATAAAACTCTCCGGCGAGTTGCTTTGATTCGACACTCAGCCCGGCTGCTGCGAGCCCTTCGTATTTGCACAGGGCCTGCTGATGTTTATAACAAACAACTTGCATCTTCTTTTCTTAATTAGAAAGAATTACCATGCAAATTGCAGGGCTTTGTCATTTCGAAGAAGTTTCCTTTGTCTTTGGCGGATTATCTGTGCGTGGCTGGGAGCTACTCCCTGGTAAATTCCACCTAAGAAAACCATTACATTTACTCTGGGTGGTGGGGTTGGGTCTTTTTTGCACACATAGGAGAAATGGAGCTGGGTTGCATTCAGTGGGGTGTTAAATCCTGGGTCACTTCTGTCCTTCTGCCACGCCACCGCAGATAGCCAGGATTGCGGGTAGCGTGCAGCTACGTGGGTACAGCTCAGAAATACACACTGTGGAAGTCATCCAGCTTTTTAAACGGTTTGATTCAAATGCTTAAACGTGTTCTTCGGAAGCGCTCGCCAGCACTGTGCCAAAGACCGTAGAAGGGGAGATTTGGCCTATTGAGCGATGGATCTTTTTCCATGCGTTAGGCAGATGACAGTGTAGCGTCTCTTCCAGGGATGATTTGATCTAACAGGGAGCAGAGGTGCGGGTTAAAGTGCTGATCCTGAAAATCACTTGTGGGAGTGCTTTACTTGGCGAGCTGTACATTGTTGGCTCTGATGAGACCGCACAGGTGTGTGCAGTTAAGTATATGCCTGGTATGGGCAATGCTGGCATGTGAAAATGCAGTTTATAGCAGGGAAATGTGTATAATTTGGGGTAATTTCACTGGTTGCAGTCGCACTGTATGGCTGCCATTGCAAAGCGCAGTGTCTCAGTAATCAAAAAGGTTTTGTTTTCCCCTTCCTGAGGATGAACTATTTGCTGTTGGATGAAACGGTTCTCAGAGGATCACGAAGAACTTTAACTTGCCAGCTACTTTTACATATTTGTCTACAGACTTGGGTAGAGTGTTACATTTGCTGAAGAAATTTGGTTTCGTTTCCAAGACCCGAGAGCAGTCAGCGTGCTGCTAGATGCTCCGAATGAAAACACGCTGCTGTAAAACAATCTAATGAGCATTACCCAATAGCCTAGTCCTTTTTTTAACTTACAGTGCTTAAAGGAAGAAACATTGCCTTAGCAAATTCATGTCCTTGTTTTAACTTACAGTGCTTAAAGGAAGAAACATTGTCTTAGCAAATTCACTTGGCTTATGCCCATGTGTTTAGTTTAAAGCACAGTCAAGACTAGTTTGAATCATTAAAATACTTGCAGTCAGGAAACATATGTAAGATTTTCTTCCTCTTTATGGCATGGGGTTTAACAATACAGTCGAGATTGCAGTGCTGTGTGGGTTTTTTTTGTCCTAAAAAAAGTAACTGCTGGGGGTGGCTTTATTCTATCAAAATAACAGAAGAAGTCAAGATAATCAGGATAGTGTTTCCTACTAGAGTAGCTAACTGTTCATATTCCTAGCACCCTAGGCCTTGCCACTGTCAGTTTTAAAAAGGTCTGTAGGCAAGTAGATTTCTTAATACATCCTTTTTTCCCTCTATATTTCATTTTATTATAGAACATAAAATATGACAATGCAAGGAAAATGCACAGTGAGAACAGATGATTTTTTAAAGAATATATGTCAAAATAATAGCAGATGCAAACATTTATTGGAGTCACACCTAAGTGTATTTGTCGAACACTTTGGTTTCACATGTGCCTTTCTAGAGCTCTTTGTTTTGAAAGGAGAAGGATGCTGTGTTGGTCCACTGACGCCAGTTCCTGCTGGACATTTATTTTTTCTGGCCTCCTGAAAATGTTATTACTCCTTCAACTTGCTAAAATGTTCCGTAAGACTAATAATTTGACAGTATATTTTTTATAATAATCTGTGTCCTAAGAAATCTGTGTTTTGGGCCCACATAGCTACAAAGTTGGTCAGCTGAAGGTACCAGTTGTCACCAGGTGACAGTATTTCACACATCAAGGCTAATTAGGTGATGGTATTTTAATGGATTAAATATGCTACTTCTTCAGAGGCAGGCAGTCTGTTGGGGAAGCTATATTGCTCCCCCATCTAAACAAGCGGTGACAGACCTCAGTGGTGACGCAAGACTAAATCTGGTCTGCGGGTAACAATGGTTTTACCTATGCAACCCTACATGCTGTTGTGCATGGTATGTAGAGCAGAGCTGCCTTCGTGGGGCTGGCAGCACTGAGAGGGAAAAGGGCTGGTCAAACAGCCCGTGGTTCGATGGCAGCCCAGAAGAAATCCTGGGAAATGTGTGACGGGAGATACATCTCATCTCAGCATGCTCTGAGATTATGGTGTTAGCTGCATCTATGGGGTTTCTGGTGGGTTGGAGGATGGGTGAGAGACAGTTATTAAGGGTGCTTGAGGGGCGGCTTGGCTCTAGGCTGAAGTTAACTATTAATGGGCTGAGCTCTTTGACTCCATTGTGCTTCGGAACTACAGGGTTGAAGCCATCAGAGAAAGAGAATAGAAACTAATCACTTTTGTCCTCTCATATATGTTTAGTGAAGGACTGCAGTCTTCTTTACTGACCTCTGTGTCACACTGGAAAAAAGACCCTCCTCTTTCCATTGGAGATAAACCACTCTTCCACCTCCTCCTTGCTCTCTCAAAGTGTACTACTGCAAGAAAATGGGATTAAGTGGATTTAACTGGCAGCCACTTGAGTTGCAACAAGTTGTGTTACCATCCCCACTTCAGCACGAGGCAGGGGCCATGAAGTGGTTTGTGGGAGAGGGGCAAGGAGAGTATTTAGGAGACACACAGTGGGTCTCAGTTGCGTGTCTCCAGGTGTTGGCAGGACCTCCACCACCTCAGTCTTGAAGCTGTTGCAGTTAGAGATGAAGACTTATCAGTAAGAATAGCACTGGCACTTGTAATAAAATAATGCATCGTTTCTGTTTAACAGCCAAACCTTACCAGGCTTACTGCAAAGAAGAGATTGGCAACGGGTATTTGTGGGCTCGTGAAGTGGGTGCACTCAGGACATGCAGACCCCTGGCAGGGGGAATAGTGGAATAATTGTCCTTTTCAACTTAGTTTACTGAGATACATTGTAATAAAAGCTTTCTTTGTATTTTTAACCCAAGACCTATATTCACCTTTTAGGGCCATAACTCTAGGGGAGATGACGGTTCTTCAACGCGCTTATCTTGGAAAGACCAGTCTCGTAGTGGTCTGTCAGTGACACATCGTGTTGGCTCCGATTTAGATCAACTGAACTAGTTTCCGAGCGTTTGAGAGGGTTAGTCTTCTTCGCTTTGAAGAAAACCCACGTGTGCGTGTAGTCATGTCTCATCCAAGTGTAGCAACTTGGGAAGCATTATTAAGAGGGGCACAGGAAAATGCATAGGTCCCTGACATGATGCGATAATGACATGTTCAGCGTGGTGCTAGAAAAGCTTTGCATTATTCAAAGTGCTGAATAATATACATGATAATGCATAATGGTGTTATGTGGTAGGATTATTTTGTGGCATAAGTGACTTGTGCTCTGAGTATGAAGGCAAATTGTATTATTTTGTCCTCATTTTTGGTGTAGCAGAATAGGCCTGGGGGTACAGTGTGAAATGGGGAGGAACAGGAGCAGGCAAGGGTGATTTTTTTTTTTTTTTTTTGGAAGGCCATGAAACACAGTGGCACCCTCTGCAATTTATTTTTCTGTGCTTGTAATTATGGAGCAAAGCAAGCTCCCTACTGCATTCGAGGGCAGCCTCCCCCGGCAGCCCCACTGCTTCCAAGTGCACCAACCCAGCTCGCGCCCGGGGTGGGTTAGCTGCTCCCTCACCAGGCATACTGACACGGGGTGGAGACCACCACAAACCCGAAGCCTGCGGGCCGTACAGGTGCCACCCACACAAGCCATGTGGCACCACAGGCTTACACCTGCCCTGATGCGTGGTGCACAGAGCATTTATGAATTGTGAAAGCCACCGCAGCCGAAAACTGGCAGATGATGCTGGTGTGTTTGTGAGCTCTGTGCTGTGGGTCTGAAGGCTTCTGAAGGGACATGCTGGGATTAGTGAGGTTCCACATGGGGGACGTGGGAGTTTTGTTCCCGTTTTCCTTGGTTTTCCCCCCCTCCGTCCGTTTTGCTTATTTAAAATCTGTATGCAAATGCGTTTGTTGATGTAACGCTAAGGTTGCAAAATCAACATCGCAAACCCGTGTTTGTTTTAACCAGCAGCCCGGCTTCGTTTGCACCGTGCTGCCCAGCTCCTGGGCAAATGTGGCAGAGAGTGGCCTCCTCCCTAGAGCAGTCCCGATCTGCACGGACTCCAGCCTGTGCAGGAGTCCTGTGACAGGAAACCCCCCTTCTGTATTTAATGCTTGCCATAGCACACGGAACAGGCAGCGCAATTAAAGCTGCGCGGGTAACCTCAGCCCTGGCAGTTCTTCAGTTCTGACTGTTTTAAGTTTGCAACTTCTGTTGAACATAGTGGGTTTGGAGTTTTATACTGCAATTAACTGTAATACTGTTATCTCCCTACCTTGGCCCTTCCTAAGGGGAAAAAAACCCAAAAAAACCCCAAACCAGCCACTATTTAGGTAGGAATGTTTCCCTTTTAAAATATAGTCAAGTATACTTTACAGCATCGTAGCCAAGAGCCTAATTTCAACAATATCCTTTACAGGGCGGATTCTTCTCTGCCAGCTGGTGTTCCTAAGCTTAGTTATCGCTTTGCATCATCTCACAAGTATGTTCCCAGGCGAGCTGTGCTTTATGTACCTGCGGATGATGAAAAGAAGATACGAAAAATCCCATCACTGAACGTAGATTGCGCGGTGCTGGACTGCGAGGATGGTGTGGCTCTGAACAGAAAGGTAATTAAAAGTTGTCTGTGTGATGCAATCTGCACTAAAGAGAACATGTGGTAAAACACTGCCTTTGCCCCAAGGAAGTGTCAGCCAGAGAGACGAAGATAAACCTTAGGATATACAAAGTAATGTGACGGTGATAGGCCTTGTGAAGGATTTGGGAATATTTGCTTGCCCAGAACTGAAAAAGAACCCGTGTAAGTAGGGAGGGAGTTTTGAAGGAATAGCGCTGGACGTAAGCTCTCGTCACAGAAGGGCGGGAGATACTGTTATTATTGCTGAGTATTTCTTACAGGAGAGGAGGAAATGGGCTATGGGAAGTGAAGTAGGAAAGGGTTAGTTCAGAGTCACCAGGTGAGGTTTTGTTGTTGAAACGAAAGCATCTGCAGGTTGTGAGCAAAACAGTGGGTTTGAGCCTTCAGGTGTTGAGAAATACTTATGTACTGAACTTTTTGGAAGAAGTGCTGTTAGGGGTGTTTCTGACGGAAGGAGAAGTTAGAAATGGAGTGCACCAGGGTTTGGAGGGCAGTTTGGATTGAAGGAGCTGCAAGAAGGCAGGGATGGAGAGCAGCGTGGGAAAGAGATACAGATGTGTTAAGTACCAGTGCCGAGTTTTTGTTGATGTTTAATTGTGAAAGAAGAGGGAACGATCTAACATGCATTCCGTTTTGCCTGCAAGCACGTTTTTTTAAATATATGAAAAGAGCCATTTTAAAACGTTTCACATGTTAATGTATATGAGAAAATGTTCTAAGTGTTGCCCAGTGAAAGATATTTCTGAACAGGAACATAAGTTTGCCATCATTTTTACATCATTCTTGCATTACTTTTATATTTGTCAGTTTTCCTGTCTGTTTTACAGTGCCTAAAACTACTGCAAACACTGTTTAGGGTTTGAGTATAAATCTGTTGTTCAGAAAGTTAAGAAAATAGGCTTGAAAATTTTCCCATGACATCTCAAAAATGTGGATGAAATTCTAGTCTTTTTGTTTCTTGGGAGTTACTGCTTCCCAGAAGGACTGTCTTCGATAGTGCTCTATTTAACCTTCAGGTCTTTACAGGTGTGTCAGAAAGAAAAAGGTTTACAGAGTTTGCATGTATCTGTTTTATTTCTGAAAAGTTGGAATAGCGTTGCTGAATGTCCATGTGTACAGTTGAAGACAACTGGAAAACATTTTCCACTTGCTAAAATTCTACGTGGAAGACTAACATTACATCTGCTGTCACCATGAATTAGTATTGTTTAGGTCGTATTTGGGAGGCTGCTGCTGTAAGATGACACAAGACACGATTGTGTATTAAACTGTAGTATTTTTAGGGGCAGCTTAATTATATAAACCAAATCATTTATAGCAGAAGCATCTATTCACAATAGAGGTTGGCAGCAAAACAAAATTTTATGATCAGGATGACAGAGCTGATAGTAGTAATTTCTAAATGGTGGTAAAATTCTAGCTCTGTTGAAGTGAAGGGGAGTTATGCCACTGGGTATATGATTTCAAAGAAATTAAGGGGAAAATCTGTAATAGGAACTTGAGATGACAGATGAGCCCCTGACTGAGCTTAAATGCAAAAAGGATGCAGACAGGAGGTAGAAGTGGTGACAAGTGACCAAAGAGCAGCACAGGTGTGTTGTCCAGGCACATAAGGACAGAATGAGGAAGGTCAAACCTTGGCTGGAATCAAAATTGCTGAGGGATGAACAGGGCAAGAATGGTTACTACAAGTGCATCAGCAGCAAAACTGAGGAGGAAGACCAGGGCAAGTGTGGACCCACTGCTCCATGAAGCCTCAGGGTTAACTGTCAGAGCCAGTTCCCAGGCCTCTCAGGCTGTGTCCTAGAAGCAAAAATTGGGCAAACGTTACAGGCATGACCAAAAAGGTTAAGAGTGAGGAACTACGGACCCATCAACCTAACACTAGTCTCCAGGAAAGCGCTAGTGCTGTTTCTCATGGAAGATATTTTACAAATCATTCCAGACAAACCTGATCACGTTCTGTGAATATATTACTGTCTTAGAGTGAGAGAGCTGGCCAGATGTTGTCTACCTTGACTTCAGCAAGGCTTTTGACAGAATCTCTCATAAGACCCTGGTTGTCAGGCTGAGAAGAAATGGACTGAATGGATAGATGATAAGGGTGGCAGTTTGGCAGGAATCAGGTGGCCCACGCTGTGAGCTATTTTGCCCTTGCCTCTGCTGGGGCCAAATATCATTTAACTTCATTAGCAACCTGGTTGATGGGATGGAGTGCACTCTCACCAGGTTCATGATGAAACCAAACCGGGGTGCTGTTGACGTGCTGGAGGGCACAGCTGCTTTACAGTTGGAGGAACAGCTTGATAGAAAGGTCCAACAGAAGTAAAAAACTAATTTCCAGCGTTGGGCTGGGATAACCCCATGCGCTAGTACAGGCTGAGGGATGACTGCACCGAAGCAGCTCTGCCAAAAAGGCCCTGGGTGCTGTTTTTCAAGAAACTGAACAGGGTCAGCGGTGCACTCCTGCAGCAAAGGCATCCAACTGCCTCCAGGCCTGTGCTGGCACGGGTGCAGCTAGCAGGTCCTGGGAAGGGTGCCTCCCCTCCTCTTGGCTTTTGGGGTCTCCCTTGGGAAGACAGAGAGCTGTGCCCAGCTCTGGGCCCTGGGACAAGAGAGAGACTGACCAATGGCAGGGAGACCAGGAAGGGCCACCAAAGTGGTCATGGTGCAGGAGGGGGGTTTTTTTTGTTCATCCTGGAAAAGAGGCCTTGGTGAAGGCTTTTTGTTCATCCTGAAGGGGCCTCAGTGAAGGCTTTGCTGTATGAGGAGAGCTGGGTGCAGAGCAGACCTAGGCTCTTCTCAAAGGAACCCGACAACAGGGCAAGAGCAATGACCACAAGCTGCATGAAATGCTGACTGGAGATAAGGGAGAAAAGTCTTCCCCATGCAGGTTGTCAAACACTGGAAGGGGTTGTCTAGGGTGGTGGTACATCCTCCCTCCATGGAGGGATTCAAGCCTCGGCTGCATGAAGCCCTGATCAACCTGGTGTAGGGCTGTAGTTAGCTCTGCTTTGAGGAGGCAGATGGATGAGTTGGCCTCATGAGGTCTTTTCCAACCTGAATTAGACTTTGTGATTGCATGATCTAGTAGCAAAGTATAATTCAAAGTGATTGGAAGGTTGAATTTAATTTTTCGATCTGCCACAGATACTCAGGAAGACTTTGAGACTTAGGTTCTGTGAATGTGAAGGTGGAATTATTATTGCTCTTGCAGCTTAATTTATTAATGTTTCTGAGGTGTTTGGAGACTTTGTGTGAAAGATATGTCAAGAACACTCGCTGAACTACAGTATGCAGTGACACGTTGTAAATGGGTCATCTGAAACTGAGAGAAAAACCTACTGTGAAACACAGCAACACTGAGTCTGTCCTTTGATCATTATTCTTAAAACAAATAGTACTGATGAATTTGACTATTTATTGCTGTGGTTTAGCAATAAGAATACTATTTACAGATTGCCTTGAAACTGCTGCCAAAATGTTATAGAATCGCAGAATGGTTTGGGTTGGGAGGGACCTTAAAGATCATCCAGTTCCAACCCTCCCTGCCATGGGCAGGGACACCTTCCACTAGACCACGTTGCTCAAAGCCTCATCCAGCCTGGCCTTGAAAGGGTTGGGTTTTGAGAAAATCAGGACCTGGTTGAAGGTTCTCAGTGCCTTGAGCCAAACCTACCTGTCTACAGAAGGCATCAAGTCCAAGCAACAAGTTTTGAACCACATGTTAACAAGTCTATTTTAGCAAGAAGCTGTGTGGTTTGTGTTAGGATTAAGTTAGATTCAGAGAGATCAAGAATCTGGAATGTCAGCATTTCCATTTGGTTTCTCATTTAGAGGGAAACAAGGAAGATGAGCTTCCTATAACCAAAGCTAGTAACATCTGCAAAGCTGCATCTGTCACTGCAGAAGCAGAAGTTGTAAATGAAAAATCTGTAACTATTTTCTATACAATATTTTCTCTCAAAGAAATTTTGGATTATATCTTCCCTTTCACCCTCCCCTTACATTTATGTTTTGAGAAGAGAGCACTGGAAGAAGGGAGCCCATATCCTAATCTGCATACCATTTTGGTACCTTCATTTCTTACCTTCAAGAGCTACCACACTGGCTATGATTTCAATCTTCTTTTCTAGTTGATAGTTTGACTTAATCAGAAAAAAAACCCCAACCCACCTTGCAGCAAGAAGTTCACAAGGAGAAAATTTCTTAGCTTTTAAGGGGACCCAGTGGGAAGAAATGGCTAAAAAGCAGAGTTATAGTATGCTAAATACTAAGCCTGCAAGTAGGGTGAGAGCTAATCCTGGTATGAGCAGGACATGTGGGGCTTTTGCAAGCCCTTTGGGACTAGTCTGAGCTGTAGGTGGTCTTCAAAAAATTCAGAATAGGGAAGATGATAGGAAGATACCCCAGTGTTGCTGAAAATTTCAGCTGCCTTTTTCAAAGTTAGCTTTAGTCTTGCTGAACATTGACTACTAGTCACACTGATCTCAAATCGTGGTTGGGGCTCCACACGCTGTTTTAGAGGTTCAAATACGTAATGTCACATGGTGTGGGCTGTCAGCTGCCTCGCCAGGTGTCTGACTCTGTAAGACATTGGGAATTTCTACGACAGTAATTTAGTTTTTGTGGGGGGGAGAATTGAATACTGCTAAAGGGAAATTACTTTCCATGAGCTACTATTCACAGATAAGATAGGATCCCTTCCTCACTGATGCACATGTAAAGTTTCTCCAGTGTTGCTATAGATTTTAAAGAAATGACTCAGAATGGCTTGCTTGGCAATATTAAGTGAATAGTTCAAACAGAAATTCTAGAACTATGAAATTAGAAATAATACAGATTGCAGTGTTGATGTGTCGCAAAAGCATCACATGGTAAAGACTTGTTGTGAAATGGTACAAAAATAGCCTATATCTATTTTAGCTCTTTGCAGGAGAAGGCCTGGATATTCTTTCATTTTAATTGTAA